TCATGAGAAACTTCAAGTTTGTTTCATATCTCCTTGGCATTGGAACAAGATGATACTCTCTCATATTTATCGGACCCAAGTGCACAAAATAGAATGTGCATTGCCTTTGCGTTAAGCTGGAACAATCTTTTCTCTTCTTCACTCAACATCTTCATATCTCTAGTTAGAGTAGAGTCATCTTTCATCATGATGCTCCATGCTCCCAAATCACTAGCTTAAATAAAGAGCTTCATCCTATTCTTCCAATAGGCATAGTTGGCTCTATTGAAGTATGAAGGCTTGTTGATGGGTTGAGAATCACAAACAATTTCGAAATTTGATGAAGAGGTCATTGATGACTTTGATGACGATTGAACTCCTTTAGAATCTTCTCAAGAGGTGATTAAGCCTTTCGATCAGTCTAGCTCTAATACAAATTGTTAAGTCAATCGAAGAATGAAATAGCCAAGAGGGGGAGAATTGATAATTAAAATTTTGTGTAAGCTTAAGAGGAAAAATTTAAAACGAATGAACACAAGAATTTAGAGTGGTTCGACTTTATAAACCAAAGTCTACTTCCACTACCTTACCTATCCACACTAAGGATTTTCACAAATTCACTAATTTGTATCTACCTTTGAGGATAAGGTGTAACCTTACAACTCCCTCAAGAATTATACCTCAAATTCTTGAGACACTCTCTCAAAGAGAAAAATTACAAATTTGCAAACTTATAAAAACCTCACAAGGAATATGTTTGCACAATTCAAGAAAAAATAAGAAAACTTAAAAAATAAATACAAATGAGTACAAGAAGTGTTCTTTTGAAATCAAAAAGAAGTTGAAGAATGTTGACTTGATTTAGCTCACACTTGAAGATTTTGGCTTTCTCTCTTGTTTTTTATCTTCACAAATGGCTTGGGATCTAGTTCATATAATCCCTCAATCAATTCAAACCGTTTGAGTTGTTATGGGAGTGAATAGAGCTTTGGGGGGCAGTTTTCCCGCATTAAATGTTGCTCAGAAGCTATTGGTATCGGTACTATATATAGTATCGATACTACCTTCAATAAATACGAAAAATTTAACCGTTGGAAGACAACTGTATCGATATTGTCTCAAGGAGTATCGATACTACTATATAAAGTAGTATCGATACCATTTTTGCATTTTGTTAAAATTTGGAGTCAAAACCAAAGGACTAGTATCAGTACCATGTTTATGGTATTGGTACTACTATAAGGAATGGTATCGATATTGATAAGGCAGTATCGATACTACCTCTTTGAAAATCTATTTTTGACTTGATTCAAGTTCGAAACACTTTGTAAAAAATATTTCAAAAATGTTATTAGTGTGAATCTCAATTTTTCATTTAGTAAGGAGTAAAAATTGATATTATAAAACTTTGAGCTATATTTGAATAATTTAATCGAATATAATATTTGAATAAAATATAAAATATTAAAATTCATTAACACATTTATTTGTTATATCGAAATATCAAAATGTTTTCAACATGTACAATTTCTTTTAAGGAAAATTTTATTGTGCAACGATGTGGTCTCGTACAATTTGGTAAAATGATCTCAAATCTCCTTGGTTGTCTTTTTCTCATCGATGCTTGAAAATACTTTATATGCTAATGCTAGATGAAGGTTTGTCATATCATTTACGTCCATCTTGTTCCATTTGTTGTCATATGTGGAATCTATCAACCTTTCATTGATAATCTCTAACAATCTTCTATCCTCAAGATAGCCTTCATCTTTAGCTTCCACAATGAAAAATTTATCCCATTAAACTTTACAATATTAAATTTCGTTGTCATAACTTCTATAGCGGATAGCTCCCACTATTTCACTATCGTGAATAGTTCCCTAGAACCTTCAAAGAATCATAATACCTTCTTACTTTCTTATGTTAGAGGATACACCTTTTGGTAGCAACCACAAAGACAATATGTATATATTACACACTGAAATCAAATTTTGATACCAATTTTTGCGAAATATAATCGTCGGATAGAGCAAAATTACAACTGATAATTTGAGAAAATAACAATAAACATAAAGAAAACACAAATTTTACGTGAAAAACTCCTAAATAATATAGGGGAAAACCACGTGCAAAGGTAGAAGAATTTCAGTATGAGAAAATATGAATTACAACTTTTCTCGATCTAACAAAGAGAAAATAATGAGAATTTTCTCTTGATAAAAAGGAGAAAACAACTCTTAAGAAGACTCTCTAGTTTCTCTAGCAATGAAAGAAAGTTGAAATGATTTGGGATGATTTTAAAACAAAAATGACTAAATTATTTATAGTTGAAGCTTAAGGATAAATCTTCATAAATAGCCTAAAGTTTAGGGACTAAATAGATAAGTCCACTCCATGGTAGAAACAGAATAAGAAACGTCCCTCCCCTAATTCAGAAATGGAAACTCCATCTATAGGATGCCAAACATTAGCTAGAATTGTACGCATTACCTGGAAATTAATCATATTGGCAGTGAGAAATGACCCCACAAAACAATTTTCAAAGGAAATACTCGAGATCTGCTCTTCCGATTCCAAAACTAAGGCTTCCTCATCATCCTCCCCAACTGCAGTTCATCGAGACTCCTCTCCAAACTGCCCATTCTACACCAATCCCGTCAAGGAATAACCAAAACACGATAGAAAGAACCAGCAGGACAAAGTGAGAACACCAATGGCAAAACCCTAAAACAAAGCCACGCGGCCTATAGAAAAGGGCAAAACCATAGTTACAAATCCTTCAATGAATCTGTATTGTTTCATAAGTTAAAATTACAACATACTTTTTTCCACTTTTAATCTATATTTTTTAACCGAACACACCTTTATTAACAGAACATAACAGAACTCCTCGGCATGAAATCAATATATGGATTTATCCTTGTTTATATAAATACACGTATTCCCAGTCAGGTCGACCGAACTTGAGCCAAAAAGTAAAACAACATCCAATTCGATTCTAAAAAGCTGAGATCTTTTTGTGAATTCTAAGATTGCAATTGTGGAAACCTGAATCTCCAAAGCAATCCGGCTGTGTCATTCCATGTCACACAAGGCTCTGGACACGCGCCACTCGATAGACTCCTGCACTTTCCACCTCCATTCATGGAGACCTTTCAACCTCGACTCCTCCTCCGATCTCCCAAAACGCTCCTCCACTACTGGTTTCCTTTCCAAGCGTCCGTGCCTTTCCGATCGCACCACTTCTTTCTCCATCGACCTCTCCAAACTAACCCTCCACGACGATAACAACCCAATCGGAGCCAACCCCAAGAGAAGTAGCTTCAAGCTGTTCGCAAGAAAACGCCGCCGCCGTGGATCGAAGTCGGTATCGGGTCGGAGTTCAGATCGAAGCGGGACTCGAAGGTGTTGTTCCGTGGGGGCGTCGGCGGCGTACGGGACGTGCTCTGATTTTCCGATGGCAATTGGGACGGACTCGAGTGGGGAGCTGTTTGGGAATGTTGGAGATGCGTATTGGGCATCGGATGTAAGTGAGGCCCGGAATCCCAGAAGAGAAAGAGGGGATAATGGGAGTGGAGAGAAGGAGAGTTTAGGCGGCGTTGGGGCGCAACTTGGGGGGCTTTGATGCCCAAGGGAATGAATCTGGGTATGGGAGTGAGCCTGGGTATCGTGGGGATGGAGAGTTTGGGTACGGGGGATGAGGTTGATGAGGAAGAAGAGGACACACCCTTGTTGTTTGGGGGATATCACTTTGGAGGAGGTATGCTAATTCTTGTTTTTTGATAACTTTGATGCTTATATTTTACTTCTTTATATGTTTCTGGGAATTGTTTTGTTTGTTAATGTTTTTCTTTGTGTCGTGTGATCAAAAGTAAGTGATTTAATTACTGCTATAAGTAATACTTAAGCATGCTAATCTGAGAATGTATACACATGGATTTAACTTATTTGACTGGAAATGGTAAATTTTGCTAGAATTGAACTGGATTTTGCTCCTCCTTACTTGCTTCATGAACTGAGGACTGTGGTTTTTAGTAAGATGAAAAGATACTGTTAAGTTTTGAGTTGTAAAATGCTTACAAGAAGCATTTAGATCAATTATGAAAGATGGTTAGTTTAGGTTCAAGAGGACAATAATTTACAGCTGGGATAATATTGGTTTCTTTGTTCTTATGTCAGAGAAAGTTATCATGCAACTTGGTAGAATTGTAGTCTGCCTTAAGGCAATTTGAGTATCAGGTCAGATATCCAACCATGTGTGGACTTAAACAACTTGAGTTTTGGTCTTCTATGTGAAGAGATGAGAGGAAGACAGAAGATGATTAAGATGGTGGAGGAAATAGAGACAGTACTCTTTGAAGCTTTATTAAACCCGTAATATCCAAACTAGGACCAGGTGATATTTATACAAGATATGTATATCTGATGTAGTCAGTTCAAAGGCTCTCACTAACATCCATACTCCTAAAGCCTTATAACCAACTTAACCAGTTAACCAACGATGCAGTACAAGATTCCATTTCCTAACTGACTTAACTGCATTCATTAGATGCAAGCAACAGTCCTATACTCATAACATTCACCCTGCTTCCTACTTCTTCTACCTAGCTAGTAGTCTGATCAGCACTTACCTTTGAAGATGCTGAAACCATAGGTAGAACAGACAGCTTGCTTCGGAACCTGCAAAAACTAGGTGCAGACAAAGGCTTGGTCATGATGTCAGTGACCTGTTCATATGCTGGTACTTCATTGACCATCATCTTCCCTGTCACAACTTTCTCTCGAACAAAAAAATAGATTTAACTCTACATGTTTGAATCTTGAATGTAAAACCGGATTTAACGAGACAGCCATGGCACTCGAATTATCGAACCATAATATAGGCTTACCATTAGGGCTGATATGAAGTTCACTCAACAATAACTGTAACCATAAAATTTCAGTTGCAGCACAAGCAACACTTCGGTACTCGGCTTCAGCTGTAGATCTAGAGACAACTTGCTGCTTCATAGATCCCCAAGCTACAAGATTACCTCCGAAATAGATGCAATACTCAGTAGTGGATCATCTATCATCAATATCTGAGCCCAATTTGCATCGGCAAACCCTGTTATAGACAAGTGAGAATTATTAGGAAACTTCAAACCATAATCACTTGTGCCTTGTAAGTATCGTAGAATCCGTTTTACTGCATTGAATTGAAGATACAAAGGAGACTGCATGAACTGACAAATTTGGTTTACTGCATATGCAATTTCTGGTTGAGTGATTATTATGTATTGTATTGCACCGACTATACTTTGGTACTCTGTTACTTGTTGAATTGGACTGCCATCATTGGCTGATAAGTTGCAGCTGCTCACCATTGGTGTTGGCAAACTTCTTGCATTTCCAAAGCCACATTTTTCCAGAAGATCTTCAATGTATTTCTTCTGATTTAAAAACAACCCATCCTTCATATGATGAACCTCAATGCCTAAAAAATAGTGCAAACTTCCAAGATCTTTTAGCGGCCCAGGATCACATGAACCTACAATCTCCTGGAGTCTTCAGCAGCAACAGTGTCAACTGAGCTAGTACTTTGTCTGCTATCGATATAAAAGTTACTTTCACACGTTTAGTGGTTGTTAGACTCGTTGAACCTCATTGAATAAATTTTTGTGTCCTCCATAGGCAATATAACCTCTCTCATAAATCATAAAATTGTCCTTTTGGTATTATTGTGCTTATATAGTCTGCATTCTGGATGTGTTTATACTGCAGGATATATGTTTTTCATGTCTTGATTAAGTTGATATCATTGTGGTTCTCAAGTTCTCCTCTGTGAACCTGCTAATTGTTTAGGAAATTACTGTTTTGGCTTAATGTCTCCTTTGCCTTTTTTGTTTGCATGCTGTTTCATGAACTGAATGCATCATTTCCCTTGTATCAGATACTAAAATGGAGATTGTTGGGGAGAACACGTTCTCTGATCAGAAAGTTCATCATAGATGCCGTCGCAAAAAGAATGATTATAGAATGGTTGATTCCCCGAGGTAAATTAATTTAATCCAGTTATTGAATAATGACATACTCCCTTATACCAGTTTGACCATAGTTTATACATCCTGGAAGGATTTGTCAGCTTCTGGATTGCTGCATGAGAGTAATTATAATGCATCAATAACCTTAGAAACCTTGAGCTGTCGAAGAAGAGTGGTGATATTGTGCAGAGATGCTTTTATAGATTAAGCGTTGGAGAATTTGGATATTCACTAACATTGTATCGTGTTTGTGGTAAGAAAGTAATGTGAAATGTACTAATACAAAATCAAGTTTTGTTCTCAACTTGTGATGTTCCGTTTCTGAAAGTTACCAGTTACTCGTTTCCTTTTCGATTAAAGAACCAAATTCGTTGAAAAGTAAAAAGGTTTGGCAAATTATTGAGGAGTCACAGTCGGGCCCAATGTGACAATTCAGATTTTATAAAACATTTAAAAAGGGTTTTCATAAAGTCCATCCCCGGGTACACTTCAACATCTGTCTTAACTAAACGTAGACTAAATCCATAATCTATGTATATAAAATGAACTCAAAAAGTAGAGCTGGGTATATGGGTTAAGGCCCGCGGGCTACCCGTTTAATCCGCGATCCGTGCGGGCTTCGGACCTCAAAAATTGAAGATTGTTTAAATTGCGGGTTTTTTAATCCGGACCGTTAAACCCGCGGGTTTAATAGGTATAACCGCGGGTTACCCGTTAAATCTGCTAAAGCCCGTTTAATTTAAAATTTATAAAATTTTAGAGAAAATAAACTTAAAGAATTTTATAAAAAAAGAAAATAAATTACCTATAAATATGATGTTACTTATAACTATTGTAGTTCTTAAATTTATTAGGACGTTTGTCATAATTTTACCGTTGCTTGATATTTTTTTCATTTAAATATACATCATTATCATTTTGGTATTTAAAGATTTTTTTATTTAATTTTGACATTTATTTTTTTAGTGAAGTATGTTATCCATTTTGTTTTTTAATTATAAAAAGTCACGTGATATTCTAATAATATATCACATGACACGTAATATTTGGATTAAAAATAAGAAAGAAAAGTAAAATAAAAAATTGAAAACATACTTTTCAACTTTTAAAGACTTTTACAAAATAAATATATTTTAACAAATTAATTACTTATATTTTATCAATTTTAGTATAATTGTATCTTTCAAATTTACTCTTATACTGTAAGTATTTTATTTTATATTTTCATATTATGTTTTAGTATTTCTCTAAAGTATCCATAAAATATAATTATTAGGAACACTTGACAACTTTCTTGTTAGATTTGTATAATATTTGACTTTGTTGAATTTTTATGTTTGAATTTCTGCTTTCAGACACTTCTGTGTCTTCATATTATAGCCTTGAATAATCGTGTTTTATAAAAATATAATGTGGTTATTGTTTTATTTGTTTTTCAATTTGGTGATATAAGTGAATATTGTTTTTTTAATTTAAGTTTAAGTAATTATATCATTATATATATATATATATATATATTAATGATTAAAATATTAAAAAAATATTATTTTATAATCATTTTTGGTTATTTAAAATAAAATTTAAATATTATTTATTATTTTGACGGTGTTACCTTCCTTTTCAAGTTGTTCGATCATTTTTAAAGGTGTAATAAGTTAAAATATTATTTTTTATTGCATTTAAAGCATTTAAAATTATTTTTATTAAGCGGGCCGCGGGTAAAACCGTTTAACCCGCGAGTTAAATGGACGGACTGCGAGCCTTAAAATTCAAAACTGTTTATGAATACGGGCTTTTTAGCCCGCTCCATTTAAATCTGTACCGTCAAAATTCACGGACTAAACGGGCGGTAACCCGTATACCCACCTCTATCAAAAAGGAAGTTGACCTTAATTAGGAGTAGGGAGCTCAACGATTTCCGGGCTAAGCCACGTGCTATTCATTTGGTTCCTGCAGAGAGACAAGACCCATCCAAATCCATGGTTTTTGAATTGCGTACTCCAATATACAAGGGTGGCGAGGTTCAGTGCAAGCATTCATTAGATCAAAATGAAAGCTTTAATTAACCATGCATGCATGATTTGATGTTTGAAAGAAAAAGAATCAAGCCCTCCTTTAATTAACTATACACTTTGATAATATTGTTATTTCAATGTGATGTAATATTATTTATGTATTTTGATTGATATAATACTATATTAATATTTGTTTTTTCAATGCAAGTATATAAGAAACATATACTTTTAATAAACTATTAAGATTATATCAATTGAACCTACCTATAATATTATTCATAAGTTCAAATATAATTTTAAAAATACAAGTGAAAAAGCATAATGAAGACTTCAAACATAAAATAGTAAAAATTTGTAATACATCAACTTAAGTTATTCATATTATCTACAAATTTAATTTGTCATATTTACATAAATAAAAATTACACTTTATATTCAAAATTTATAAAATATAATTTTATAACAATAAAATTAAAAGATAAAAAATAAAAAAAAAATCATGAAATATGCATATTTGTATAATGGGAATAGATTTCGAAAATTAATTTAAAAAAATTAACCAAATAGTGAAAAACATTTTACACTAAGCATCCAAATAAGGAAAAATGTTTTTTAAAAAATGTTTTCCATAAATATAATTTATTTTTAAAAAACCAATTACAGAAAATAAATTGACCCTATATTTCCTGCGAAACTACTTATAAACTAAACCCCCGTTATAAATGTAAAAGCTCATAATTCAAACATAAAAGATTATCCCACTGGGGTCAAGATCATCCAACAAAAATGTTGAGACTGCAAACACTATTGCGTGAATTAATCCAATCCAAAGACGAGTGTCGCTGAATTTAGCCAATTGCCCGATGGTTTGACCATGTTGTGGAATACAGCACTGTATCATTTTAGGTAAATGCACCCATCAGTTTTCCCTTATGCCATCCGCTCCTTTTTCCCCAACCATATACACGTCTTAGGTCTAAGGATGGCAATTTAAATTGAATTCAAGAGGTTTCGATTTCATTTAAAATTTGATCTAATAGGGTTTGGTCGAATTTTTTAAGGGGTGAGATAGGGTCGAGTTTAGATGGAGGGTGAAAAAACTTCGACTCTACCCGACTCAAGGATAATAATATATTTTTCTTAAAAATTTTGTTATTTTAAAATTAAATATATATTTTGTATTGGTTGGGTAGGAAGAGGTTGTGTGGAGGTTATAGAATTTTCGGGTTTGATCGGTTCAAGTGGAGGATATATATTTTCAGATCGAGTCAAATTGACCAAAAATCCAACTCTAACCCGACCGGTTGCGTTCCCTACTTGGGTTACTTGTTTTGTTTTTATTTTCCCTATATTTGATTCTATTAAAATGAATTATGATCCATTCTTTTATGTTTTTAAAAGAAAATATGAACCACCACTACTAAATATTGGTTAAGGTGATATATAATATGCAATTTATGATTAATGCATATTTTCTTAAATATGATAAAATATTATATTAAACTGAACAAATAAACTTTATTAATAGGCTTAACTAGAAATTTAATTATCTCTCTGATTATTATTTTTTTCCACTTTACAACCTAAATCACTTTCTTTTTCCAATTTACCACTTGAAGTATTCTCACGTTATAAATTGTGGTCCCTCAATAAACATACATTAACAAACCGATCAATGTGCCATATAACCCCTTTAACTATAACATATTTTTCATCAAATTATGCAATTTTCTCAATAATAAATTCATATTTTTTTAAAAAAAATGACATACATTTGCCAATCGGTTGGAAACTAAAAGATTCTAAACATTAGCTAACAAAATCATTATTATCGGCTAACCAACACTATTTTATTCGGTGCCGACTTAAACCATATTTCTAATACCCCATTCATCTCTTCCTATGTCGTAATCCCCAGCTGTGTTTGCAATTAATAAAGCAATTAGTTTATATTTTTAATTAACCAAATAATAGGGTCATCGCCGATAGGCAATAGCAACTTCTCGTTTCCATAATATCAACTAATAAAATCTTAGAATCAAAAAGAAAATTCTAAGCAAAATTAGTCCCCGTTCAACTCGAAGTGAAAACGAACAGGTGTCCCTGTTTAGGGATTTAATTTCGTTATTGACGGGTTTAGCGTCGAGGATGAAGGCGAGTGGGGCGATGGAATTAATGAGAAAGCCGAGTGGAAAAAAACGTGGGAAATATTAATTATTAAAATTTAATATTTTAATATCATTTTAATCGAAATATTAATTATTAAAATAGATTTATTAATATTTTTAATAATATAACATTATATTTCTAATATCATAACAATATACTCAATTATAGTATTATAATAATATGAGATATTATATTTTTATTCTTAATAATATATAATAAATTATTAATAAATTTTTATATTATTTATTAATT